ATAAAGCTCGATAAAAAGTTGGGGCAGAATGCCTCAAACCTCCAAATGTATAGACAACTCAAAGATATTGTTTATATCAGTAAGTGCAAGCTCCTAAGAACATTAGGCTACTCCAGAGGACACTGAGGCAACACTGATATGGAATAAGTTGGGTTATGAGATGTTGCAACTTTTATTATTACTAAGCTGCGCAAAATTTAGAAGTCATTACAGAATCTTGCATCTGACTGCAAGATATTGTTCCTACACTTATTTTAGCCGAATCTATAATGCAGATTGAAATATCATCTCGGCGAGTTCCTGCATCGAAAAGATATTAGACAATCACATTTTAGATTCAACACAAGAGAGCTAAAAATGACATTGAAGAGAGACATTAGGATGGTTACAGATACCTGTTTCCCAGATGGAACAGAAGGCTCACCCCATTCCATGACCTTCTTCTCAAGTGTCTCGAAATCTGCTTTCCCAGCCTGATCATAGAAATAAAAATCAAAACCATAGAATTAAGAGTTGTTGGATAATCTCATTCAGTAGATTGGTTTTGCCTGTACACGAAAAGACATATATAAAACACACCTCAATTAGAGCACCAATCTCTGTGTCAAAGCTTTGGTAGCGTTTCCGAACAAGCTCAGCCAGGGAACCATCCTAAGATTAGGGAAGAACCCTTCTCAGTATACTGCAAGTGATCCTCCTTATGTTAAAATTCTTAGATTACCTCGGTTAGTTTCGCAACATTTCGCAGTCCACGGGCTAATGTGTCCATTCCAGAAATATGAGCAATGAACAGGTCCTCAACATCGGTGCTCTCTCTCCGCCTAAAACCAAGGAAAAAACAACAAGCTCAAATATCTCTCTTTCTAAACACAGTGATACAGTAAATAACATCATGATTATGCCAAACGGATAGGCTATCAATCATCAAAGTTTAACTATAAGGGGCAAGAGAAACAGAGTTTCTCAAAACCAGTAGCAACAAGCAATGGTTGCCTTCATATAGGCTATCAATCATCAAAATCAAATAGTAAAGATTGAATCAAATAGATGAAGTATAAGGGGCAAGAAAAACAGACAGCTTTGCATCAAAGTTGAATCCACCAGGTGCAATTCCTCCCTATCAACACAAACAAAACAACGGAAGACTCAATATTAATTGGTAAAGATGTAGAAGTGCACTACTCCCTGGCATATACTCCAACTAACAAAACAATCAAATACTAAACTTACATTTCTGACAACACTTAACATAACTAGGGTTGCTTCTCCAATATCTGTAAGGAACTGATCTGTGTCCCAACCTGTGTCCAAGAGGAAGCATCAAACGTCATTGATATATTTTCCAGCAGCCAAGAAATAATGAAGAAATCTGCAGCTTTATGTGCCTTTAAGTTATAGTTGCACATACCAATCTGGGGATCACCAGTATTCGCATCAATATTTCCAAGCAAACCATTTATCCGTGCAGTTTCAAGCTCATGATGACAGCTACAAGAAATAGTAGATATATCATAATTTTCATATGAATACCATCATAGGTCAGCTTGAGCTGAACTCATAGCAAAAGGGACTTACCTATGACCAGATAAAGTAGCATGGTTACATTCAATATTCAACTTGAACTCTCCTGCACCAATGAGATAACAGGATAAAGTCATCAGCAACTTCATAATGAAAAGAAGTTATTGAAAACAAATACAAGTATAAATCAATTGAAAACAATAGACAAAATATTCACATTATAAACTATGGCATCATGTAGAAAGATTTCTTAGTGCAGTTCTCAAACAAGATAGAGACAGTTGCAATTTTCTGTGGTAGGATCAAACGACAAAACAAAGGAAAATGGTAGTGCTCTAAAAAACTATCATGGGCTGTCTTCACAAGTGATAAAGAATATACACAATATGGAAATCAACCCAAAATCTATTAGGCACTTATATGTTATAGCCATAATATGTTGTGTTCATCAACATAGAAATACATGTATACAGGATGGTGGACACACACAAGAAGTCAGTCATGATAATTTGAACCTACCATGTTGGGAGAGAGACAGAGATTGGACGAGCAAAGGGGAAATAATTATCCTTTTCGCAAGCAGAGCCCCAGTTTCATTGTCAAGCATTTGTCTTTTACTTTATCAAAGTCTTCGACACGTGGCCAAGGAGGCAAGTATAACGTGGGTAAGCAAGAAATTATGGTGGTTGAGAAACTACATTGCACCTACTTGTTCTTCTTTAAAATTCCAATATCATGAATGAATAAACTCATTTTACAAGACTACTTGTATGAATGCTAGTATTAATGCCTTCTTCTAACTTAGTTGGATATGCTATTAGCAAATTACATGTTCCCATCAATAAAATAAAAACACCCTTTAGATTTGAATTGCCCAAAGTCACAATTATTGACCTGGAAGCAGCTTCAAGGGCTAGATATTGTCCAAAGTCACTAATAAATGTTGCTGGATAATTTATAAGTGCAGCCATAATATTTAAAACCCATAGGAGTGTAGCAGTAGACTGCTAGAAACCAGTGACTTGGCCTAAGCCTGGGGCGATGATAAGTATGCCAACAGTTCTGTTAATAATGACAACTTTTGTGCACAAGTGAAAAAGAGTAAATACTATCCACTCCTCATGGTAATGATAACAAGAGAATAGCTAATCAATCCATGCATAATATGCATATAAGACTAAAGAAGAATGAGAAACACAGGTTCGGGAAAATCTTTGTTAAAGGTACTTAGACACAAGAAAGATTATTTGAATTAAAAATTACCAAACATCACCAAATTGTTCATTAGCATCACATTCTACAAAACCAAAAGTACTATTGCTAAGATGAGTTTGATAGAACAGATTCTACACATTACAGATGAAAATGTATACATTCAAGCATCAACAATACACTAGCCCACCAACTTAGGTGATTATCAAGATACATGAAGGGCCAGCAAAGTACCTAAAAGGCCATACTTTTGAAGAAAAGCATAGGCAGTTGCAGCATCCCAGTCATATCTGATGTAACAAAAAACATATTAGAATAGATAGAACCTAATGAACATTAAATGATACCATACTGCTATACATACTGGTGTTTTGTCGGTTCTTGCGGTTTAGGTTCTATTAGAAGAGTTCCTGGAACATAGCACAAAAAATCATGATATATTTTACAACTTCAAATGCTCAAAATTCTCTAGCAATTGATTTAATAAATGCAAGCAAATAATATGAATAAGCATGCAAAAAACACAATTAGATTTAGTTGTTCGTGCGGATGAACTGAAGTAAATGAAAAGAGGAAGATATTATTTAGTACTCAACTTTACAAGAAAATATGCAAAATCCATTTCTGAGAATTCTATGACTTGTCAGCTAATGGGACTACATGTTCAATAGACTTATGTTAGTGAACATGGACTGAGAGATAGAAAGACAAACAGTACCATTGAACCCAATCTTCTTTTTATAATCAGCAGCAGCTTTAAGAAATCTTGCCTGAAAAAGAGAAAACCTTATTTTTATATGTAAAAATAAGAAACAACATGCATAGAGAGCTGAATGCCTTTAGAACAGACGTTAGAAAAAAATGCTGTTAGAAGAAAGACTATCCTAGAGCAGGTTAAATTATTAATATAGGTACCAATTCATACCAAGTGATCAAGCTCTCTTTGCATATCAGTGTTTAGAAGAGATTGATACCCTTCACGCCCACCCCAAAAAACATAGTTCTCTCCGCCTAGATAATGTGTCACCTGCAATTATAAACACAAATTTAGCAGACACTCAAAACTAAAGGCTTATCATCTATCCAAAAATCTCACCTCCAAGGCCTTCTTGACTTGAGCAGCTGCATAAGCATAAACTCCAACCTCTGAGCTGCAAAACCAAAGTGAAACTTGTTTAAGTAACAATCACCTTGAAGAGATAATACAAATTGTTATTCTAAAAAAGGAATACCTAGTAGCAGCTCCATGCATGTAGCGTGGATGAAAGAAAAGCTGAGCTGTACCCCACAATAGTTTGATTTTATTTCCCTCCTATAAAACATATTTCGTTCATCACAGATAGATTAATAACATTATTCTGGTCTATTTCCATAATAAGTGTAATTAAAAAATAAATCAAATTACTCCATTTTAGAAGTGTCACTGGTGTTTTATGATGTGTACAAATGATAACGCAGTATTATCACCTGAAGTTCCTTTGCAAGAGCTACAACTTCATCCAAGTTTGCATTTGTCTCCTATAAAGAAAAAGTCACTTGACATGCATTAGGTTAAGTGAAAAACATAAGAACTTTTACATACTTCTGATGTGGTTAAACACAAAAAGTTTCAGATCAACAAGATAAATGGGCAGGCATTAGCATTTTTTAAGGATGAGTAGTATTTGTGTATGGCAATTTTACCACCACTCCTGAGAAGCAAATATAACTTGACCCTTGCAATTAATTGGATCATTAAAATTTTAAGACTAATATCAGCATATGTAAGAGCTGAATCTAAATATAGATAACCAAAAAGACAGAAAACTATGGACATTATTTAACATACCATGAGTGTTTTACCATCTGGGGCTATATCTCTGTCATGAAAGCACCATCTTTCAACTCCAAGCTTGTCCATGAACTCAAAGTGTGCTCTCACTGCAATTAGTCATAACATAAGTATCTTAACTCTGCTCTGACTGACTAGCTGGAATTGCATTATCTTACTTCTTCTTTTGGCCATAGCCAATGAATTTGTACCATCCTCCCATGGCCATGATTTTGTTGGCGCACCAAAAGGATCAGCACCAGTCCCACGAAAGGTGTGCCAAAAGGCAACACTAAATCGAAACCAATCCTATATTACCAAGAAAAAAACATTAGCATCAAGAATAAAAGTACAAAAAAGAAAAGGATGACTGGTCCTAAAAAGAAGCAACCCAACATACCTTCATTTTCTTTCCAAGTATCTCTTCCTCAGCATTATACCACTTATAAGAAAGTGGATTTTTGCTTGTCGGGCCCTAGTGTCACAAGATAAAGAAGAAAAAAGCATAAAAATATGTTAGCTAACCAACCCAATAGCAAAGAGAAAATAATGCTCCAATTACAAAATAAACTCAATCCTCCAACATATGCTACTAAACTAAAACAATGGTCATAATGTACATTACTTCATATTTGATTTTTGATATGCCTGGGAAGAACTCCCCTTTCCAACCATCGGAAGAACCACCATCACACTTAGCCTCAAGATTGGCCGCGCATGTTTGCTGACCTTCTGCATTCTGCAAGTAGATTTTATTTAAACTTCCATCAAGAAACAATTTTGAACATACGGTCAAAATGTATAGGATTACTCACAACAGTTGATACAACCAAGGCCAAGAGGAACAACAGCAGTATCATCTTAAACTTCATAGCGAACAAAACTTTCTGAGGATGGAAATGAAAGAATTAGTAGAAATTAAGAAATAAAACTAGTTGAATTGCTATAATGCAAATGAATTCTTCACTCTGTTGAAAAGACCAAACTGAAGTATTAAATAGGTCCTTAGTAAAAAAAAAAGAAAGGAGACAGCTCGTCTACAGTTTTGTTTGCAAACCACAGAAAAATAATGTTATTTGACGTTCTCAAACCACATCTTCAACAAAAATAGGTTAATGCTACCAAAAATCACAGTGGAACATAACAAGAACACAACCTCCTCTGGAAACAACGAACCAAATTCTTTATTTCTTCTAAGGAAATCAAACTCTTAATTAAATGCACAGATCTAATGCTATCTTATATTACACGTACAAGGCATTTAAGTAAAATGTAGACATAGAACCACAAATCAAGAAACCAATGACACACAGTTCGAGTCCTTCAAATGGTCGATCAACCAACGTAGACAGCCTACGCTATTTTATCTGAATGTTTCATCCAGAATAGAAAACTAACTGAGGAGAATACCATTCAAATCAATTCCTCAAAAGATCTACCTAAAAGTTGCACTTTTACCAGTCCTAACTCAAAAAAATCGCATCTTTCTTCTCTCTTTCTATCTCCTAGAACCGACAAAAAGAGATCCGAGGATGAAGCGAAGGAAAACCCCGAGATCATAACAGATAGAAAAGGAAGAAAAACATACGAAAAAAAGTGATTATTTCGAAAAAATTAAGAGGAAGAAGCGAAGGATCATGGATTTACTAGTCAAAACCCTCGCGACTCCACCGATCTAACGTGCCTTCAACTGTGAGCGGGGGTTTAGGCGTTGATTTATTGACTCGGGGAGAGTGAACCCACGAGATCACTCATCATTTACACGAAGTAGGAATCTTATCCAATCCCAGAAGTAGAGACCGTCAAGTCTCTACTACTTTTTTGCCGTCCATCACGGAAGATCTCCAAATCAACCGTTCAATATCAAAAAACACATGAACATTCCAGATCGTAAAATTAGAAATATACGGTTTAGATCTTAATTGTAAAATTTCACCGATGCAATCCTCCGATACACGAGATCCAGTCCATCTTCATGGAACTTACCATCTTCTCGCTTTTTCCTGTGGATTCGGATCCGGATCCGCTGTACAGAGGAATCCCTGCATGAAACGTATACGTCCTTTCGTGGAACGAAATCAATGCACGATAACAAACGGACGGAGAACGATCCCGTTCGGTGCACTGAAGGAAATAGCGAATCCTCATCCTCATCCTCATCCTTGTTTATCCGACACGTCAATCCAACATAAATCAACACGAAAATTCAAAATTGAATGCAGGACGCTAATAAGTGAATCAAATAGATAAGAGATCGGATTCAAAGAATCGAGACGATCGATCCTATCAATGCATTGGATATGGGCTTTTGTGGATAATATTTTAATCATGTAATGCTTTACATGGATTAGTGTTATTATAAATTTTGATTGTCTGATATATCAATGATTGATCAAACAAATTTGTGGAGACAAATATAAACAAACCAATACATGATTTGGATTTGAGTTGAGAAGGTAAGTTAAACACATGCGTCTCAATATACCTACTGTTGATGTTGTTAGTGATTGGGTTAAAGATTAAGGCTAGTTTAACTAATGTCATCAAGAATGTATCGCCCTCCATAATTTTTTCCATCATTTTGGTGAGTAATCTTCCATCCTAAGCTTGTTTAGATTTGTATCCACAAATTTTAATTTAACATATATGTCTCTCCAAATATTAAAATACTTCCTATATAATCTTAGTGTAAGGATCATTTTTACATAACCACCGTGTTAAAGATTTGTAATAATAGGAAAGAAATTTTACACAATATGAATATCACTAACTAACAATCAAAACTAATGAGGATTAACTACTTATATATATATATATATATATATATATATATATATATATATATATATATATGTATTATATTTGTGTGAGTATAATATATGATGATGTGAAATTGCATGTATATGTTATGATATGAAGTGTAAAAGTTCATAAATTTATTATGCATATTACATGTGCATATAAGTATTTTAAATTTTGTTTAACGTAAAATTTTTCCTTCTTCTTTACATATGCTATGTTGTAGACTTATGTTGGTTAAAGAAGTTATAAGGTATTTATTATTAATTATCTTATAATGATGAATTTAAAATATGATATATATGACATGATGTATATTGAGTGACTACTCACTATAGATCTTATTTTATAGATAGCGATACTAGCACCATACTCAAGTGATTGAATAGAAAAATGAACACATACAAGCTCATGCTAGTACAGATAGGGACGATGTCAGGTAGATATTTTGTTTGTATAAATTTTGAATATATATATATCAAAATAAATTATAAATTTGATGTGCATACATAATAATACTATAAATATTAAGATCCCATACCCTTTTTTTTTGTCAATATTCATCTAAAAATAATCTATATTAATCACCTATAATTACGAGTAACATTAAAGACTTTGAATAAAAAGAACTGAATATGAAAAATAGAAAGGACCCTTTGTATTCTCATCATCATAAAAGCTTTTAACAGGATTGTATGTACCAATTTAAGTCTCAACGAATAATAGATTATCTGCAATATGTGCAAGGTTTTAGTATCTATAGAAGTAATCATGTGGAGGACTCTTAATATATATAATATTATTCTTTACCCATACAACACTAACGATGTAAGTCCTTTTAAATACATCATATATATTTTACATTTAGTTTACTTATATTCGAATTGCATCATAGAAGAAAAAACATATTGATATAAAATATTGAAACCTATATTTTAGTGGAGGCGATGAGCAGAGATAATTGATATCATGCTCGAGCCCAGTTGACTCACGGATCAGAAAAAAAAATTGATTTTCAGATACCACAATTAGATTTTAATTCTAGAGTGATAGGATATCATAATCTATATATATTTTATTTTATAAGCCAATAAAACTGAACTTTTAATTGTCATACTCCAATTTTTTTTGTTTTTGTTATAATAAAATTTATTGTTATTGATATGTACATAAGTCTTATATCTAATTTAGCAAAATAAGTCTGTTTATAGTTTCTCATTTTGATTGTTTAATGTGGATATTGATTCGGAGTTAATAGAGAATTTAATTCATATTTATCTTAGAGTGATATTGTGTGAAATAAAAGAACTCTAAATTGAAACCTTGTAATATTATGTCTAGGGTATATTCGATAAAATTCCTCAAATATTTTAGTTTGGATTCAAAGATTTGATTAGCTAATAAATTTATTGTGAGCACAAGTGAGATGTTGAAGATTTGACTTGTCGCATTTGAAATTGTGATTAAATCATTGGGATGATTATGTGCTCCCTTTGATTATCTATAGGTACGATCATATAATATTGAATCTAGAAAATACGAGATAATGATCGACTTAATTAACTTTGTAAGACTAAGTAGATTAGTTGATAGTAGGATATCGATTGTCATATTATTCAAATGATGATGAGATCACACATTGCTAAGGTTTTGATAGTTTTGGTTACTTGCTCATTCTATAACATTTAAAAGCCATAGGAAAAATTAGGTTAAAGATAGATATACCTGCATGATGTGGATATTGGTGTTTAATGGGTTTTATGTTCTTACAATTGTTCCAATATTTCCTTTCCTAGGATGTTGCATCCAAAGTTTCAGCTAGTCTTCTGAAATTTTCCAAGGAAAGCTTCTGATTATACATTTAATTGTATCTACTCAATCCATAAAATTAAGGATAGTGACACACTAAATACAATAAGGTTCTTTTGCTTCTAGATTGGACCCTTTTGAATTAGTTTAAGTGGTTAATTAATAGAGATACTCTCTGTGTAGTTGATTCCATCATCATCGTCGTCATCATCATTATTATATCTAGTCATTCACCATCGAATTTATTTATTTATTTTATTCATAAGCCTAAAGCCCAACTTATCATAAATATAAATTATATCTAATAAAAATATTTCCTGAAGGGATAATCAACTGAATCATTTGTTTAAAATATTTAAATTGAAATTGATGATAGTTGACACTTTTTTCCTCACTTTTTAATGTATAATTAAGTCATAATATTACACTTATTTTTGCCGACAAGCACTTAGCACTGTATCTCTACATGCTCATAAACAAGTGAAAGTGAGTGGCTTGTAGAGAGAGTTTCAAGAAAAAGAGAAGCTTCAAAGAATGCTACTCCCTATGTATGTACACCTTAAAGGCACCTAAAGATTAACAATGAGGAAAGCACCTAAAGATTAAACAATGAGTTTGAATCGTTTGTTTAAAATGTTTAAATCGAAATTGATGATAGTTGACTCATATAATCTTTATAAGTCAGATTCATGTTTTTTTCTCACTTTTTAATATATAATTAAGTCATAATATTACACTTATTTTTGCCGACAAGCACTTAGCACTACATCTCTACATGCTCATAAACAAGTGAAAGTGAGTGGCTTGTAGAGTTACAAGAAAAAGAGAAGCTTCAAAGAATGCTACTCCCTATGTATACCTTAAAGGCACCTAAAGAAAAAGAGAAGCTTCAGAGAATGCTACTCCCTATCTATGTATACCATATAGGCATCCATAATAGAGAAGAAAAAAAAGAGTACGTGTCCTTCTCAACATGCTCACATGATGATGCCCATATGCACTTAACATTATTAATCCATACAATATGTTTGGTTGTATGAATAAGTACTTCCTTCGGTCTTCATTGTTGGTCAGCCACTCTTCCATAAATGACTATGAAATATCTCTCAGAGGTAATCTTGTGTTAGCTTTATAGAATAAGAGAGTTTAGGTTTACAGACATTCCAAACATGACACTGTTTATTTGGTTTAGCTATAATTCTTTGCTTAAGTGAGTCACCTCATATGGACAAAGGTACAAAGGACAAGTTGATGAACCTTCATTGTCAGCCACAACATGTTGACATTATGTCTCGGGATGCTTTGTTAACATTGTATAGCTTGGATTAATTCTTTTCTATTTACATATGATTTGATGACAATAATGATATTATTATTCTCTCAATGGATCCTTTTTTTCGATCATCGATATGTTACGTAAAGAATCTTTTCTACAACTATATTAATAAACATTTACAAATCAAAGTTTTGTCGGACTAAATTAAATCATAAAGAAGATGCAATAGAGATTAAATTAAAAGAAGTGGATCTGATCTACTACGTAGTCGGTTTTGTCGCATTAACATAGATCATAGAGTGATCAGCATGCATGAGAGATTACGATTCATGAAGATACGAGCCTTCTTTTCTTGCACTTCAGATTGTTTGTATTAATCTCAAAAATTTTGTGGTATTAAACCTAATAAAGTAGAAGCATGAATGTAATCTACTACGTACTTGTCGTCCTTTGCATGCTTCATCTAATCTTTGTGAGATTATCCAACTCAAATTAATGCGATGATGTGCCTAACCCACTTCGTATCACAAGGCTATTATAAGCAGCTCCAATCCTTCACCTCTCCTAGTGCTGCACACCTGTCTTGTGCCTGCTTCGGCCTCTGTTCTTGACCTGAGCATGCTCATAAAGATTGCTGCAGTGGAAGGAAGAAGATATGGTTTACATATTCATCGGTTGAGCTCCCAAATTCAAAAGCCACACTCGATCCGAGATCTAGTTTATGGGGGTCGGGGGGCCGCGGGGGGCGGTGTTCGTCCTTAGTGCCTCCTACACGGAGCTTCAATGGCGGCTTAGAGTTGACGAGGTTTCGCCATTGGCTCGGGGAGGAGAGCACCAATCATGGCGTCACAACGAGGAAGAAGTGTGACGGTCGGGGCATGAAAATGCTTTGAGACTCGTGGAGAGGTAGAATCTCTCTCTCTCTCTCTCTCTTTCTCTCTCTCTCTCTCTCTCTCTCGGTGCATGAAAATGCTTTGAGACTCGTGGAGAGGTAGAATCTCTCTCTCTCTCTCTCTCTCTCTCTCTCTCTCTCTCTCTCTCTCTCTCTCTGTGTTCATGTGATGATGATGCATGACGTTTCCATAACGCCGAGGAAGAACTCCATGCGTTCACGTAAACCACACATCACAAGTGTGGCTATGGCCGAATGTTGTGTGTGTGTATATGACAAATAAGCTACAAATTTGCTGATCCAAGAGGAATATCTATCTCAATGTATTAATTTCATATGCACTAATAAGAAAATTTATTATGATGTTAAGATTATACTTTTGGGGTTAAATCTATCTACATTTGTGTAACAAAAATCATGATTCGTTTGTTTTGGATGGATGTTTACTTCCTTTCTATATCTATATCTATGTCCAAGTTTTCATATCCAAGAAATATGATCAATATCTTGACTATTTGTTGATACTTCTAATATCCGTTCATATATATATATATATATATATATCTCATGCCTTAGGCAAATTAAAGTAATATTAAACCTAATTTTAGAAGGTTAAATTGATGAAGCTCTTCTTTTTCTTATGGAAAATCTTCAAATTTTTTGTGCAAGAAGAAAGAGTTTATGCTGTTTCTAGGTAGCATTTGATTCAACCAGTATGAAGGACAGGTAAGCTGATCAGGCCACTAATCATGTCCAAGATTTGTGCCAACAATATGGATCTCACAATTAATTATCACACTAATCATGTTCATGGCTGCCTTTACAAGCTATATATAAACAGAGCCAGGTGATGCTGCTGAGCTGCATCCAAGCTTCCTCTGTTCTCTAACTTGAAGAGCAAGAGAAGTGAAGTGACTCCGCCTCTTGCCTTAAAGATGCTGGTCATCACCATTGTGAACCCTTTTGCTACAGCAGCTGGCCTCTTAGGTGCTGCCTCTTCCTCTTCCTCATCCTTCAGCTGCTGCTGCTCTGGCTACTGCCACCAAAGAATCTTTTGTTTCATTTGCCAGAATGCATTCTATGATTTGCAAGCTTAAAGTGCCAACTTTTTAATCTCACTTTATGATGTCAGTAACCTCTTCTTATATATTTGAGAGCAGAAAAGTAATATTATGCAGTCTCTAGACTTTATCTTCATGCAAATGCAATGTAAAGTTATCAAAATGTCTTATATCATCCTCAAGATTTCTTTGATGTGATTGACATGCTGATCAACATGAGAAAAGGAATGACCTTTTTCTTTTGTTTCTGTTCTCCTTCCACAGGTAACATCATATCATTTCTGGTGGTTTTGGCCCCTGTGTAAGCTGCTCTCAACATTTATGTTCTTGATTCATAGATAGTTTCTGCAAACACATTTGAAGTTTCAGAGCTGCACACTCCAAATCAAACTCAATCATCAACCCCTCCACTGCTCACTTATACTACTTTTTAATATTTCTTTTCTAGGAACAATGCATTAATCCTTTCTTTCTGGCTTTGTTGATGTTGGTGAAGGCCAACATTTTACAGGATCTACAAGAAGAAATCAACTGAGTCATTTGATTCAGTGCCATATGTGGTGGCCTTGTTCAGTGCCATGCTGTGGGTTTTCTATGGGCTCCTCACTCTAGATGTGCTGCTGCTCACCATCAACACTGGAGCTTGCATAATTGAAATGATCTATCTCACAATATACCTAATCTATGCTTCCAAGAAACCCAGGGTAATCTTTTTCTGTCTCACATATAAGGCTGGCACATGACACACAGCTATGTATCTTCACAGGCAGTCTTTCTATGCTCCTCACACAATGATTGATCTAAAGTAGATGCAGATTCTGTCTGCAACTGGACCCAAAATATATGCTTCTAAATAACAAAAAGAAAAAATTTCAAGTTATCCAAATATAAATAGGAAAAAAAATGGAAGTAGGAAAGATTACTATCTCCACTCTCTTAATATCACAAACGCCAATTTTAATTGGTTAATCATTCTCCTTAATTGACTACATAACATCACTATGGCTAATGCAGTAAATTGCTTCAATTTTTCTTTGTATAGTTACCTACCAACAAACAGGAATTGAATTCTTTCTGAATCAGTTCTTTAGAAGTAAAGCAAACATGTTTGATCACTGAACAAAAACATCTTATTTTCCTTCTTCTATACAGGCTTTCACACTGAAGTTAATATCCTTGGTCAATGTGGGGATCTATGGATCTCTAGTCCTCTTCACCACCCTATTTGTCAAGGGAAAAAGGCGAATCGATGTTACTGGATGGATATGTGCCTCCTTTGCAGTCAGCGTATTCGCGGCTCCTCTGAGCATTATAGTAAGCTGAGATTCAACTAAATGCAGCAAAATTATAAGTGACTTTTCTAAAAAAGACCACAGAAATGAATAGAACAGAAAAATTTTTGATCCAAAACACCGATAATATCAGCTTAAAACTTATAATTATGACTTTATACAGAATAAAAGTGCTGGAAAATTATGCCCATATATACATTATATATATGACAAAGTAGGTGATTTGTGCTAGCTTTCTTCCGGATTTCTAGCTGAACATGATACAAGTTTCATTTGCTTTCTGAGGTTAGATTAGTTCTTCAAACTTTCTATATATTTTAGATCGATGAGTGCTACTTCTTCAAACTTATAGAAGTAGCATGCAAAGCCCAGCATCGCTCATGAGCAGGCTAATGCAGCATGACAAACAACGGTATGTGAAGAATCATTGACATGGTATTTGATGTCCTGCAGAGGCTGGTGATAAGAACTAAAAGCGTGGAGTACATGCCATTCTCACTCTCCTTCTTCCTCACGCTATCTGCAGTTGCATGGTTCAGCTACGGAATTCTTCTGGGCGATCTATTCGTAGCAGTGAGTTCCTACCTCTTACTCAATCACTGGTCGAATCAGCTCACCGTTTAATATCCTCAACCTTGTTTCAGCTTCCAAACGTTGTGGGCTTCATGTTCGGCATCGCCCAAATCATCATCTACTTCATGTACGTCAACTCTAAGAAGGCCGAAACAAAGCCAAAACTCAACGCAGAGGCCATGCCTGCAGCAGCAACACTGGACTCTGTCGTTGAACTCCCGGAGAAGAAGGGCGTTCCACAGCCGGTGGTCTGCGAGTTCACATCGGTGATTGAAGTGTAGCGTTACGGGAGATTATGTAGTTTATTTCCATTGGCAGACGCATTTCATATATTTGTGTCTCTTTGTCTACTGGGTAGAATAAAAGATCTATCTACGTGGTATTGTCGTAGCTTTGAATTCCTAAATGAACCTTCGTATGTGCTGGTTATCAAATGGAAGCTTAGAGGCAGTTCGTTGTCTTGTAATGCACATGAGAAGCGTCAAACAGACAGCGCACGCATCTCGAGGCACACGTGATCCACGTAGATCGATCATCATAGCGGATTCGGGTTCGTCGTTTGACTTAAACGAAATGCGGGACCCATCCGTAGAAGCCTCTATCAACGCGTGATGGTGACGCGGGTAAGCCACAAAAGGGTATCGGTAAGAGATTTCTTTTCTTTTGTTAGCACGCTTATGGTGGAAATTTCGCATCTTCGAAAGATTAGAAAAAGGATTCTTTTTACGCGTACTCGGGTTCGGATGCACCCACTCCTCATCTCTCAAGCCTTTTAACGCGCACCTTTTTCTTTTTCTATTATGTAAAGCCTGCTTTTGGAGCTAATCGCAGCCGTCGATTTACGGGGACCATCCTATCGTGATCCGAGCCCGCACCAGAGAATCCGCCGGGGTACCAACGTGTTCGTCTCCCATTGGCTGCCCCACACCGTCACGCGTCCCGCGTCCGTACCTGCCACTGCGGTGCCATTCGAACATCTCAAGCGACGAAAATACCCCCAACAGTTCCCCAAACCACTGGCCTGCCACTCCACCACCTCCTGGCCCAAATTACCAGAACGCCACTGACGAGCTCGCGCCCGCCGACACACCTCCCCGTCGCGTGGCACCTCCGATCCGCTGTTTCGCTTCAATCAGGACCGATCAGTGAAAAGAGCTTCCACAATGGACGCGTGTCCTTCCGACAAGACGATTCTCTAGGGGCACGCATCGGTGCCGGACGGCAGTGGGTCCCTAAAATGCCTTTTGCTACCCGTTCTCCACGTACTCTTCTATAATAACTGGGCTTGTAAATCTGGGTCCCACATGTATGGGCTATCTTCGACTCTACCGATATAGCGGGTAACTGAGCGGGGACGCCATGTATGAGCATGGAAAGCGTTGCTATTCCTTTGAGTGATGATTTCGTAATTCCAGGATGATGCATAGTGGCAGAATCGGGAATGAGGGTTTTAAGTTATTTATTAAGGGGACAATTAATAAATACGACGACCTTTTTCTTGGGCATGTATATAAACGGAAACGCACCCAGAAAAAGACCGGGGAGAGAGAGATCGGAGGTAAGCAGAGCATCGAGAACAGGGCGTAGAAAGGCGAGAGAGAGAGAGAGTGAGAGAGAGAGAGAGAGAGAGAGGAGGGCCGAAGAGAGGATTGAGTAGAAGGATAGTAGCGATCCGATCAGAATCGACACCGAGGTTCGAGTTCCTCCCGGTTCTCAGCCCGATCGCGCCACTGTAGAACGTTCCGGAACGTTCCAGAAACCCCTCTCCCCCGCCGGCCCCCACCACCGCCGGCGATTCACGTTTATGGAGCTGTATGGACGTGGCCCCGCGCCGGGTGGCGCTCGCCCCGACCCGGACACCGGCCTCGAAGGTAAACTATTTGGTTCGTTTGTCATTATTCCCCTTTCTTCTGTATTGTCGGGTTGATTGGCTTTCAAGTTCCTGGCGTGAGTTTGCGATGAAAATTAGGATGATGGAAAGATTAATTATTTGTTCCTTTTATGTGCTGATAGAGTCCATGTGGAGATTGGGCTTAGGCAGTGGCGGCGGTAGTGGCGGCACTCTTCAGTACCCGGAGAGGCCCGGAGAGCTGGACTGTGCCTATTACATGCGTACCGGAACGTGCAGCTACGGGGAGAAGTGCCGCTACAATCACCCCCGCGACCGTGGAGCAGTAAGGGCTTTGTCAAAGTTTGATTTGCACTGCTTCCAGTAGGGTTAACTCTGCCCATTTAGGTTTTGTGCCTTGTCTGCTGCTAATGTATGTGATTTTGTTGCTTACATTTGAAGTGGTTAGTGGCTTTGGTTAAGAATGACTATATGGTGCCAAGTTCATAATTTTAACTAGATAATTTTCCAAGGTGTGAATTTTATGTCCTTGGTTGACATGACCCATCTGCACTAGTCTCGGTAAATTTGACCTATCTATTACTGTTTTTAGATGACCGGAGCAGGAAGGACTGGAGCTATGGAGTATCCAGAGCGAGTCGATCAGCCTGTGTGTGAGGTATTTTACCTTATCTAGCATAGTTTTTGGTCAAAGTAGAGGGGGTTACATGAATTGATATTAAGTGCAAGAATATGCAGAATGAGGATTTTGAACTGAATTTTAAGCATCAGGGAATTTGTCTGGCGGGAGGTCTACAATTTTATTTTGTTAATATTAATGATATAATTTTTTTTCCATAGTTCTATATGAGGACTGGGAATTGCAAATTTGGTTCTACTTGCAAGTATCACCACCCTAGACAAGGAGGTGGATCTGCACAGCCAGTCTCACTAAATTATTGTGGATATCCATTACGACCGGTTAGACTTTCTGTTCTAGATATTCTTAATATATTCACTTCATTTATAGTTAATTATCACATATTTTTATGATTTATCTGCCTCGAGGTTGCTACTAATGTTTGTGTAACTGTTGAACTGCAGGGGGAAAAAGAGTGTGCCTACTACATGAAGACTGGTCAGTGCAAGTTTGGTTTTACCTGTAAATTCCATCACCCACAACCTGGTGGGTCTTCTGTGCCCTCTCCTGCATCAGCATTTTATCCAACGGTGCAGCATCCATCGGTTCCTCCACCTCATCAGTATCCACCTTATGCTGGCTGGCAAGTTGCGAGACCTTCAGTGCTCCCTGGATCATATTTGCAAGGGTCTTATGCTCCAATGCTGCTCTCTCCTGGAGTCGTTCCAGTCCAGGGCTGGAACCCTTATACGGTTTGTAGAACTATTAGTGCTTTAAAGACCATAATATCAGAGGACACGAGTTTAACTTCAGATGTTTTATTTTTTGGCATTTACATGCAAGCCAGGGACCTGTAAACTCCAGTGTGTCACCTGCTGGTCAACAAACAGTTCAACCAGGACCAATCTATGGGGTACAGAACCAGGCGTCTTCAACCAATCCAGCTTTGGCTGGAGCACAAACACCTACTTTGTCACCTGCTGGAACTTTGACTACTAGCCAGAGGGAAAACAAATTTCCTGAGAGACCTGGCCAACCTGAATGCCAGTTCTACATGAAGACGGGGGATTGTAAATATGGAGCCATGTGTAAATACCATCATCCACCAGATTGGAGAATCCCAAGGATGAATGTTGTTCTTAGTGCTCTAGGTCTCCCCCTTCGACCGGTACTCATCTTCACTTCTTACATTTTTCATATCATGAAATATAGCAAGTTGATCTGTGACTTTCTTAATCCTGTAACTTTTGATGGGTTACTTCTTGAACATTAAAGTCAATAACAGTTGTGTGTGCTATAACTGTTAATACAACAACAGTTATATGGATCTTCCAACTATTTTCATATCATGAAATATAGCCATAGTGTTCCAACTATTTGGAGTCAGTTATATGGATCTTCTCCCATCATTGAAATATAGTCATTGCAAACTCCGTTGTCAGATGAAGACTCAAAACATTGAATTTTTTTAATTCTTAGCATGCCAAATTTATATTGACATTTAATATAGATTCCATCTTCTAGGGCTGTCGTTAGTTAAAATGAATAACCTATAGTACTGCATTTTAGAACTATGGTAGTATTATTTAGAGGCCTATTCAGAGGGATTATAATTCTGATTGCAAATTTGAGGGGAAACAATTTTGCAGGTTTTGTAGTTTAATATCTAAACCATGATTTTGTTCAGAGACATGGATGAAGTATTGATGTAGGATAAATTCAATAAGTAAGCATTTTAAAGTAAGCTTAGTCTACTAGTATTAGAGCAGTTTCAAGAAGTAAAACCAGTGAAAGAGTTTAATGGCGTATACACAAAAAATGAGGATCAATCAATTAACACTGAGACTTCTTATAAAGGCAAATAAAAACTTACAATGACATCTAATTTGTTCCAGATAAAACTGACAAATTTGTCAAAACTGACTGGAAAAGAAATGGCCAGATTTTTGGATCGTTTAGTTGAATCTAATTTTTTCCAGTTCAAGTATTTTGTTAATTATGATTTTTTTCACTGATGATTTTCCTAGAGGATATTTGAGTTACTTAAGGAATATTTTATCATCCAGCAATGATCTTATGTAATTGTTGAATAGGTTATATTAATTTTTAGGTACTTCTCACTTTAGTTTACTTAAGTGCATAACTTGGCTTGAAAAGAGGTTAACTTCATTGATATTTGTGACAAATTATTGAAACAATTCATAGAATGCCTTGAAGGCCAATTTAATTTCCACATGCAATATGTTACTAGTTCCATACAGGTAGATGAAGAGAACATCAAGAAGGTCAAGAGAATCCACTCCATCCTTGTGTTATTAAAAGGCATAGACTAGCAGCACCAATTTTAAGCTGGCTTTCATATGAATTGATCGCTTGATTCTCCATTTGGGGTATGCATCTGCATATGACCTCAGTTTGATAGGTGCGATATTGGGTAGCCCTATATGTCTTATGCATCAAATCACAAGTGAGTTGAGTAATACCATGAATCAAATGGTTCCATAATGACTGTCATGACTAAAAAGTACTGGTCCGATCCCATATCGGTATTTTTTTTATTTTTCCTAGAATTGCATGATGGTATATCATAGTATTGACATGCTGCATTCTAACACTTGCCAGTATGATCAAGTGATCATGATCTAATTAGTTTTTCTCTTAATCTCCATCTGAAGTAGCAGAAATGACGGTCGCAAGGGCCTATACATAGAGATGCTGCTATCCATGAGTTGCCTGTGCTTTCAGACATTGTTGCTAGCATACCTGAATGACATTGAGACCAATGTTATTAGATGGGCAAGTCTTGCCATCCCTAGCAACCTGAATAGTGGTGTCCTCCCCATTGCAAATACCAGTTAAGACCAACTGTAGCCAGGAGCCATTAACTCTTTCTGATGGATTGGGTACAAGAGAAAGACACTGAGGGAGTGAACAGAGCGATCCATAAATTTCCCATATTTACATAAATACTACTTCCTGTACTGTTGGTGGTGACATTCTCTAAAGGGTTTCCTGGTTGATCTCTCAGCCGTTAAATCAAAATCTGAAGTTACAATATATATGCATGCTAATGAGTGGGAAAGTAAATTTTGCAGCATAATCTTGTAAATTTGTGTTGTAATTCCCAGTATCTTCTTTTTGATGGCCACAGTAATTCTACTGCACATCTAAATCACATAGTTCTCTCAAATGAATTTATATAAAATACAGGAGGAAGAGAGGTTCAAGAGGATGAAAAAAATCCTAGGACGATGAAATTGCATTACTTCTGATAGTATGTTATGGTTGTACTAGGACAACATAATCTTGACTACTTGAATCAGGCCTTCTCTGTCATAAGCTTCTATGTTGTCTATAGTATTCTGTATTTCATAATAGTCTCATAAATGATAGAACGTGTAACAAGGCAGTACAAATTTGATTACCAAAGCAGGATTTGAAGTGTTGAAAGGAAATATTGACATAGATTCAATGGACCACACGATAGCGTAAAACATTATATAAGTATAAATTGGCTTGATAATCTGTTGAAAATAATGTATTTATATGCTTAAAGATGGAGTGTTTGTTTCTTTGATATATAATTTGCTTAATTGAGTAACTAAGCTATCAGTTTACATTTTTGTATTGTCTTATCAATTTCACTTATTTCTCCCTGAGAATTAATATTCTTTTTAATCTGGATCTGGTGACAGGGAGCTCAACCTTGCACTTACTACATGCAGCACGGATTATGCAAATTTGGACAGACATGCAAATTTGACCATCCGATTTCAACTGTGAGCTACAGTTCTTCTGCATCTTCTCTCTCTGACATGCCAGTTCCTTACCCTATTGGATTTTCAGTAGCCACCTTGGCCCCCTCCTCATCATCCTCAGAGCTACGGCCCGAATTCATTTCTATCAAAGAGCGTTTCTTTTAGGATCCCAACTGAGAACCGATCTAGCAGCTCCATTGGTTCAATCTTTTCAAATAAGGGTTTTCTTCCCCACTCACTCATTCAACCTCAAAATTCTGCATCAAGTAGTATCAACAGCAGCCCAATTCTTGTTCATGTTATCTCTAGTTCAAGATGAGAACATCTGAATTGATTGGTTAGATTTTTGTTCAAGGTAAAACTGAAGCAACTCATTCTTCATTGCTCTTGACATGAGTGGTGTATCCCACTTTTGAGCACTCCTCTTGTTCACAGTCTACCTTAGCTCAAGTTTATACACAATAAAGTATGGTCAACATAGAATGCAAAAACCTAAAAAGTTTGATGTTTCATCTCCTTAATAAATAGAGTTATTCAGCAAAATTGAGAAGCCAAATAGATCTGCCTACTTTATCAGTATCAGCTTTGATAACTTCAGATCAAAATGGATACCAGGTTCATGGCTCATCTCCTCCACCGCTTCGCTTCACTTCAATTTATAATCTCATCTCTTCCACCTTACATTGTATAGTTCTCTGGAGAGCAGGCTACCGGATTCTGGTATTCAAAACTAATCTGTATTCGTAAAGGCTGCTGGAGTTTTTCATCAAGCAATCGTCCAATTTGTTGTACTTGTACCTTTTCGTAGTTCTTCCAAGCAGAATATTAGAGATCAAATGTTCTTTATGATCGCAACATCTTGAGACAAGGTACATTACCGTAATGAGATACTGGTCACTTTAATTTAATTGTTTTCATTGGAAAAATTCACAGCCTTTTCAGTTAATTTTGATCTGAAGTATTTTTTATTAGCAATATTTAAATAATTTATGTCTGGACTTATATTCAGCCATTTTTCTCCCTCTAATTTTACATCTGTGATTCAACATTAATTGCTTTATGATGTAGTCTTAAAGGACCTAATTGGTTCTTGATATTTCACTAAAACATCTATGACTGTAGAATTGTCCTGTTTTAGATGTTATGTTTGTTTAATTTACTTGTGTTATATCTCATGACTATCTTACTATTATTTATCCATCGAATAGACTTTTTATTATTTATCCTGAACGCCGGATTTTAGATTTTCTTACTCATGTGAATGTTACATTTAATGCATGCTTGTCTATAATTGCAGTTTGTTCCTAATTCACTTGCAAGGATAGCTGATTCATATAACATCGTCTAAATTTAACAAACTTATAGAGGTTCTCACTAGATGATGACCAGGTTGTGTCTGTACCATTAGATCTTTTGTTCTGTTTCAACTTCAGGTTACTAACTTAGAAAATAATTGACAGACAAATTTGAAGTCTTACATAAAAGCAAGGTTTCAAACATAGACTGATACTGGTTCATTAAGATCTTAATTTAGATTTCATTGTCTCCTAAGTCACCACAATATGACAACTTTGTGGCAACTTGGGAGACAATGGAACGTGAACAGAGGTGTACAGGTGGTGTGAAGAAAAAGAATGCAAGTTGTAGAGTTACCCTTAGAATCTCTACACCTCTAGAAGTTATCCTATTGTCAATTGTTATAACAACAAAAGAAGTGCATTTTCTAAGTGATGGTAAAGCATCTCTTGTGAGCTTTTAACTTTGTGTGTGTTCATTCCCATATCACACATTATGTAGGTATCTCATAATGTGTTTTCCTATTCCTCTTCTGCTACATGTCCTACTCCAAATCAAACACTTGGACATTGTGTTCTTATCAACTTCTCTTGTCTAAATCTATGCAACACTATCATATGAAAACAATGAAGAAAGATTAGATTAAGAGTCATTTGGGACAAAAATAAATAAATAAATAAATAAATTGCACTGCCTCAGAATGATTGCTATATGCTAATTTTGTAGGGGCATTCCATTGTATTAAATTATAAAGATCCATGTGGTGCATACTCTCAGCCTGTCCCATGAGTGATGGACAGTACATTAAACCTTGCTACTTGCTATATGTAAGATGTGGAGATTGACTATGATCTGAAACATCATTAAAAGAATGACTTTGAAATGTGCTCCTGGTAAAATTTTATACAGGTGCTGAGTGCTGGCTGTCATAATCCTTGTTGTTAGTTCCACATGGAATAGGCAACTATTATCCAATACTTAATTGGGTGATTTTCCTATAAAAGCCTCCTTTTGTTTTTATCTTGTTCTAAAAGGCACCTCTTATTTTGATTTTTCTCAAACACTAGGGTTAGAATTGATCAATATACATATTTTTAATCCATCAAGTGGAAAGATTACTTTCTTGTGAGAACTCTGATTACATAGGTCACAAAGAGAATCTTATCATAACACCAATATTGACTCTCTACCTTGAAGAAGGGCACAATATAAAATAGCATTCTTGGAAGCAACTAGATGCCCATTGCATTGGTGTTATCATCCAACTATATGGTCGTCTCAGGGGAGAATAGAAAAGAAAAGAAAAGGATAGGATGAGATGAAGAGAACAAAATGAGAAGAAAGAAAGGAAAAGAGAAGAGAAATGATGAGATTTTGTTTCAAGTAACCAATGCCCTTAGAAAAGGAATTTATGGGAAAGGATAGGATAGGATGAAGTCTATAAAAAGAAGATGATAAGGAAATGATTGAAAAGAAAAGAAATAGAAGGAAAGATAGTGCTCTGTAAAACTAATATACTATATATATGCTTGATATTATTGTATGTAAATTTATCATTTATTATTAATGTTTTATGTCAATGGTTTTAGTGATTGATTGATTTGTCCACTATTCATTACTATATGATTCAGTGGAATGCTCGATCTGAGCCTAAGAATTATGAAATAATATTTAAAGCTTGTAAGCTTGGAAAGGTTGAAGTCTTCTTTTTATTTTCCTTTAGCATTCAATTGTCAAGAGATTAATAATGATTATCGCTGCTCTTTTAACATTCAACTGTCAGGATGAAATCCAAAGATCAACAAATAAAAAAATTATCAGAAATTTGATGCATGATTAATAGTATTTAATTTTTTAATTAATTATGGAAAAAAAAGAGTTGATGATGGAATGAATGTATGCATATTCTGATTAAGACACTCAAATATAAATTTTAAAAATTCGAACCAAAACAAATATTCCATTTGTTATTTTTCGTCGAATATATTTGAATTCACCCTTGAAATTTGACACAAATCTTTTTAATTATAAGGACGAAGAGAAAAAAAAAAACCCATTCTTGTCATCCTATTTTATTATATTATAAAACTTGTACAATAACAACATGATATATTATTCATATTAAGGTTCGTAATATCGTACCGTACCGGTATTTCGACCTAGGCTCGGTACCAGTATTTCGACCTAGTCTCGGTACCGGTACAGTACGGTATACCGAGCGATACATCCATGTGTGTCGAGTACTATAGACTACTATAGTGTACTGCTACAATGCTACAGTGCATTCGGACTGATAATATATAGTCCGCGTACCGACAACCTGTCAGATCAGTACATACCGCTCGTACCGCTCAAACCCTGATTCATATTCTAGAAAATCTTCTCAAATCTTTGATTCGATCAAACCAACAAGTCTCGGATCTATGTCCAATTCAGTCCTCGTATCGATGCACTCAAATACCGATCGACCAAGTAATATACATGAATCAAAACTTCTTTAAGACTTCCATTTTCGTTATCTCAGTATATAATAACCCAAAGGTATCTGTCATTTAATAGAGCATCCTCTCCTTAGTCAAAAGAAGCACACGAATGCTGTCAAAAATTACTATCTTGATAAATTAGATTTTTAAAGATGTTAATTAGTTTAGCTGATAAAAAATATATCATAAACTCGACGTTTCTTCCTCACGTCAAGTGGATATTTTAGTAAATTTATGGTAGTAGTCAGCATTTCCTTTTACTGGTTATTTATTTTTCGCTGTTAGAATCGATTTATTGGATGAGTTATTTTTGTGGTTTTACGTATGTATCCTTTGGTGTTAATAAACAATATATTACCCTTATAAATGATATCCTTATATTCACACCCGATCAGGAACAAGTAGGCACCAACTTGAACACAAATGAAAATATTCGTAGCACATTTTATGATTCCCAACCACAAGTAGTTATGGATTTCCAACAATAGAAATAGATCATGTTTTTATAGAATTTAATTGTCTGATCTCGATATGGATTTAGAGTCAATCGATGTTCAATTTATATCCATCGATCTCAAGCAATGTCAACTTATCCGATCTCAAAATTTCAAACTCATCCGACTCTAAATCCTACAAAATTATGTTGAGGAGGAGATGTTCCTGACAAATGTTCATCTGATACTTAAATTAATTTTGGGCTCGGATGGTTTAACAAATGACTTGAATAGCATTAGAATATATATA